GTAAACACTTCCACAACACTAGTGACAAAATTATTAGCAGAGCAATAAATTCAATCATCTATAAATTGTAACTGACTCGAAAAGTGTACTAGAAGATTGAAACCCAGCGACGCTGAGAAAATAACAGCACATACTCGTTATCTGACTCACCTCTCCTAGCCAAAGTACCCTGTCAACAAGCAAATACAGTTAACGGCTTAAAGAACTTAACTGCCAATTGAAATAAACAGAAGAACTTAACCGTCGTACGGTGCCACAAACAAGGCCCTGCTAACCACAACCATCCGACTACCTGTCCAGCGTATACCACTGAATGAGTCCTTCGAACTTCAAAAGAAAATTAGGTATCGTATTACAGTAAGAGTTGTTTCCTTTACGTTTTAGGATCTCCAGTTGGAAAAATTCCAACACTTCTTATCTGTGCGCAATTGCTACAATTCCTGATCGAGTCCCTAGAGATCCTGCAGCGATAACATCTTCCTCTACTGGCATAATATCAAATAAATGTGGCCTATCTCTAACAGTAAATAATCTTTCAATTCGTAACGATATCAGAAAGTGGATAGGAAAGTGAGGACGGTGCTTTAAAAAACGAATTTGGAAATTGAAGTTTTCATTTAAAAGCTGCAAATTTGCTTTACCTCCTAAACACCTGTCTGTTACACCTGTACAGAAATGCAGCAGCTACGAGCCAATTTACCTCATTTTTGTTTTTGAGTTCGTTGGTACAAAATCTGTCGTCAGCAACATTCCCCGCGGTTCTCCAGTGTTTAAGGCAATTTTCTTCCTAAAATGAGCTATCTGAATTTGGTAGTACGAGTAAGGGTAATCGATCGTGTTTTTGAGTTAATAATCGTTTTCTTGTACACTTTCGGAAGAGTTCCTTCACCCGGAATGCGCTTTCTGAACCCCTCTTATATGTCCCAGAATGCTCTCGGAATGAATCGTCTGACTGTGGTAGTTAGCGGAGATTGCTGGGGAAGAGTGGAAGTAGCTTGGCCAGCAGAGTATTTTTCTGACTTTATCAGATTTGGAGTTCTATAGTTCACTAGATTCATTTCTTGTGAGTAAAGTGCTGAACTGTTTCGATAGCAAAATGAACGCTAGGCAAGCGTTTCAAACGAGGGAGAAAAACTGCTACACTGCTCGTAAATTAATGAGGTGCGGAGACTCCTAATGTTGCTAATCTTAGGATGAGACCCTACTTTCTCTGATTAGACTGGTATAGCCAGTTGCCTCATCTCTAGAGGGTTTTTATAGCTAGAGGCCTGTTTTAGAATGAGAGTTCTGGAGAAATAAAAGTCCTTTGGTAGTGCAAAAAAAAAATAAACTTACGGGAAATAACGACTAGTAACTCTAAAAAACTACGATGATCCCCTGTTGAACGAGTGTTTTCAAATAGTGTATTCCTGCAGCGTTGCAGTGACTGCAGGCTAGTTCCAGAAATACCCGCCTCAAAAAGATGAAGGATCTTCAAGAACTGTAACAGGTTTGTGTAAAAAAAAACTTTGGTGTGAAAAATTGATACATAACTTAAAAACTGAACTTTGCTTGATGGGACAGAGAAGTTCATATAGATCATTTCTAGAGTATTCTGATAAAATTAGGCTCGTTATCGAATGAAAATCCTGAGTGAACGGAAGATTTTTTGAAAATGCAGAAAGCATTAACTTGCTGAAGGAAACGACTAGTAATTCTAAGAAATGATAAGTGACCTTTAAAGTCTTCCGGAAGTGCAGTAGGCTTGTATAAAAACTTAAACCAACTTAAAAGATGATACCCAACTAAAGTTCCTGAATAGGATTAGCATAGCTCAACTGCTCGTTTTTATAGCATTCAAATAGCTGTAAAGTCTACCCAAAATACGGGATAACTGCTACGAAGTTATATCATATCAAGCTATATGCTCAATAGTTGAGATCTTTTTGGTAAATGCACATTTCGTGTTGGTGGGGTTTTCAATCATAAGATGGAGATGAAGTACCCTGTAAGTGAATGGTCTTTAAAGGTTATTGTTAAAAAATTGAAACAGTAGAAGAGTCCTTGGATGGAAAAGTGCAAGCCGATTGAAAGGTACACAAAGTGATTCTTCTGGAACGTGACGAGGAAAATCCTGAAAGAAAACACGGTGCATCAGAGAAGCGAGAAGGCATGCTTTAGTTAGGTGCTTTACAGTAAGACGGCATTGTTTATTTTTTGAAGCAGA